ATTGCACGAATATTAAAAAAATACCGAACCAAATCATCACAATCTCAATCACTGAAAGCTCTCAAACCGTCCAGTGTTCCGCAAATAATATCCCTAGAAATCGGATTGGCCTAATTACGCGCCTGTTATTAATATTCTTGGCATAGGCCCGCAACCACGCGGTCTGATTATTCCCGAAAATTATCGCGCGGTGTCCAAACGTCGGTAGAGGGAGAGAGAGCCGAGATCTGGGCGCATGAGTCCGGCGAATGCCATTATTTCGAGGCCGACAGACGTGTCTGGCCCGGACTTAAATGGGCTTGGACAATCGGTGGCCCATTAGCTCGCAGTCCGCGCCATTAAAATCAGACACCCCTCCCCTTCTCCCCCTCCCCCTCCTCCTCCTTCTCATCCCCCTTCCCGCCTCCTCGAACCGCTGGTCTCGGGCGTAATGCTAAACTCGTTACCAAAATTTTCGGAGCTGATGTGCCCAGCCGCCCGTGAGGAAGAGGCAGCGAAGGGGACAGCCCGGCCAAGTGGACATCAACCGGAGTGGCCGAGAATTACCAACCGAGAATTCACGAGAAAACGACGATCCGTTCGATCGATGGACGGATTTGATTAATCGAGATACGAAATTACTTCTTCTCGAGATTCGTCGAGATTCGAGCTTAAGAAAAAGATGCCGCTCTCCTTTTGCGCGGTATCGTTCTCGTGAAGGGAAATATAATGCTTTGTGTTCTATCACGTTCGTGAAAATTTTATTTTCCAGCGAGCATCCAGCGATAGATGGAATATTTATTAGAATATCGTGATACATGATTTTGAATTTTATTATATACTTGTTATACTTTGTTATTATTTACTTGGTTTCCTCTCTATTGTTCGAATATTGCTTTCTTTCACAAATGAATCTCTGTTTTTTGAATTCGAATTCATAAAAATATAATAATTCAAATTACAAGTATATCTTTCAGACATTGTCATTCTTCGTCTTCATATTATATTTATTCTTGATACTTGATTAACGTATCAAGGTGTAGCGTAAATTTTACGAGCAGAAAAGAAAAATATTGTCGCTCGTTTCGATCGAAATTCGAGCGAAAACTGGCCAAGAGAAAGGAGGGTGAGTAGGGAAACTCAGGGAGGCCTGAAAAGCAACGAGCGAGCGTTGTAGCGGGCGGAGGAGCATTACGGACATTAGATTGGGACACGAGTGCAATAAACCTATCTGTATAATCTGCCCTGCAGGAATTAACAGCCCTCTGAAGGTAGCCACTAACGAAGTAATTCACTGGATGAACGTCGGGGATGGTGGGGCGAAAGGAGCACGCGGGGGTGGAAACACCGAATCCCAGTGTATATAGGACGGTCCAAAATTGAGATTTAGATCGAATCGCTGCTTTCAAAATTGATAATGGACGGTAGATAATTGATAGGGTGTCAAAAAAAAGGAACATCTGCGATCATTTTTTTGAAAATAATTTCGATCGAAATTCTAATTCTACACGGATTTTCTCGAATCGGAAATGAAAAATGATAGATTTACATAAATTCGTTAACGATGTTAATGATGATTGGAATATGATTAATTATATTTTAATATTTTCTAAGACTCTTGTTAATTTTATTATTCGATAATTATCGAAATACAATTATTTCTTGAAAAAAAAAAAATATGAATCAATGGATCCGAAAATATGTGAATTAAATAAGTGCGGAAGAATAAATAATAATTTTTTTTCTTTTCGCGAATACATTCTTTTTGATCAAGATATTCTAGATCATAGAGATAATGGCAATTATTCTTTTTTCTGTAATTTTGAAAATAATTGCGAAGACAATGATGTAGGATTTTGTTACATAAACGATGATCCATTGCACGTTATTTGAAAGGGATTGTAGTAGAATTGGAATCGAACGAGAAATAGAGAGGGCAGGTAGATATAATAGCCACAGGGAGCTGGAAATGTGGGTAATTGCTGACTTAGAGCCTGCCATTTTCCTCATATAGTTACAACCGCGAAACCCCCTAGCGGGCCACAATTTATTTATGTCGATACTTTCTTGATTTGTCGACTCCTGCCGCTCATTTATATCCTCCTCGAACCAACCGTATATACATTTCGCTTCAGGAACGTGTTATTCGTCCGTCCAACTTCCTAAGTTTCGTACATGTTCTCGGCCAACCCCTCTTCTTTCTTTCGAACGAGAAGAATATATATATATATATATTTTATATTTATAAGATCAATCAAAGAAATGTAGTTTGTACTATGTGAAATTTATTTAAAAAATTTATTAAAAATTAAAATTTATTTTAATTAAAATTAATTTCATTTAAAGGGTTAAATGTTACATAATATTGCATCTCTCGGTTGAATGAAAGTAACTCTGTGTTATTTTCTCTCTCTCTCTCTCTCTCTCTCTCTCTCTCTCTCTCTCTCTCTCTCTCTCTCTCTCTCTCTATCTATCTATCTATCTATCTATGTATCTATCTATCTATTTATCTATCTATCTATTTATCCATATATATATATAGAATAACATAGAGTTACTTTTATTCAACCGAGAGATGCAATATTATGTAACATTTAACCCTTTAAATGAGATAAATTTCACATAGTACAAACTACATTTCTTTGATTAATCTTATGAATAATTTATATTTATATAAAAAGAAAAAATATCGGATTAATTATTGGCAAAAGAATAGAATTGCGTCGATCTGATTAAATTTTCCAACTACAAAGTATAAGCTATTAAGATTATCATCGACGAATCGACGGGACAAGGAACAACTAGTTAAACAACCGTCGTAACTTAGTAAATTATTATCCTGACGGAGTATATAACTGATCGCCCTCTATTCCCCCCCTCCCCAATTTTTCCAACCATTTGACACGCGGTGGACGCCGAAGCAGAGCCAGGTTTCTGGTTCCGTCATCGTGGTTATTAGTCCGTGAACGAAAGGGTTATTATGAGGCACGGGTTATCTATCAGTTGGACAAGGAATTAGGCGTGTCAACACATCGGGCTAATTGATTATTGCGACACGACAGGAGCAAAGCGCCGCAGGCCGCACGATCATCAGTCATCTCGCCAAAAAGACAACGTTGGGGAAACGTTCGAAAACGTTTCTCCAACCCGCTATAGATAATGTTGCCAGCCACGTGTCCGAAGATTATACTCCTCGAAAGACGTTCGTCATTTATCTTGCTGTTTTCCGGAATAGGCGATGCGTGTAACAGTCGATGAGTATATGACTTTATGACCATTTCAACCGTGCCGACCCGACGATGAAACGTATTTTCAACTTAAGACTTTATCTCCTTTCCGTTTTAACACTATTACGTGTTAGAGGACATTATATAGAGGACATTAATTATCCAGATAAAAATTTTTATCGATTTCTTTCTCGAGGGAATTTTGAAAATTTTACGTGACATTTTTGTATCACTTTGTATAATACGGATGAGATTATTAATAACAAGTTCTTTTCTTTTTTCTTAACGCAATCCTTAACGTAATTTTTAGTCGTATGTATATCACGATTACACGATTTGTATTCTAATAACCGCTACACTCATCGCAGTACAAATATCGCAAAATATTTACAAATATTCACTGCTACGCAGTTACTAGTAATCAAAAGATAAGCTCAACTCGTAAAGTTTATCCACGAATTGCGTCTAAATGCCAATTTCACGTTCTGACGACTAACCATAACCATATATATCGCAAATATCGATGGAGATCCGGAGTATCCATCCATAAAAGATAAACTTGGATAATGAAACGTATCCCTTCCCTCCGAGGGACAGAGGTACTATAACAAAGGTTTGGCCGCGAAAAGTTTGGGAAGAACTTTAAATATTTTTACTTTTCGATGGTCGAATGCTGGGAACAAAAGAGGGAAGAGAGCGCGTCGAAAAAGAGAGCGGAAGGGGTGAGCCTGGTGAGCGCGCCGCGGCCACCGATCCCACCGATTCAATTTAAATTTCATCGAGTTTATAGCCCGTTCCGCTCTCCCTTATTCGGTATAATTAATTTTTCAATCGGGAAATGAAGAAGCGTTTTACGAGGCCGATGGATTAGCGGCCTCGGTTACGTCACTTCCGAGGCAGCCAATGGAAGTCGGCCGTGCAGCCTTCGGTTCCCCGTTTTCCAGAGGAGAGTTCAGCTTCGCATAAGTTTACGAGCGTCGACGCTTTGCTCTTATTGGCAGATCTCTTCTCTGTACGCGGCTCGTAACGCTTCGCCTTTACAAATCGTGATAAAGGCGGACGTTACGCCTCGACGTTCTTCGACGATCGGTTTTACGGGGCCGGGATGCTTTACGAGCTCACGGAATTCAACGACGTGTATAAACCGGAAGGGAGGAGGAGGATATATGAAGATATATACATATATATATATATATAAAACGATGGTGGACAACGAAGCCACTTTGGAAGCGAACGAGTGATTGTACGTTGGAAGTTTTTTCTTTTTTTTTTTTTTTTTCGTTTCGAAGGAGATGTTCGAATTCCACGGGGATGGAATTGTAGAGGAGTGATATTTTTATGAGGGGGTTTTAATGGTATCATTTTAATGGTAATTTCTAATATCGAGCGAAATAGAATAAAATTCTAGATTTCTGTGCCGATATTTATAGCATTATTGAAGAAAATTATTGAGATGCTACGGTATTTTTCTCTAAAAGTCGAAAATTTCGTAATTTTTGTTAAATTTTGTCGTTTTCTGGAAGATTTTATTTTTCTTTTTAACAAAATATTTATTGTAAAGTATTAATTATTATATTCTTGTAAAAATACTAGCTATAACTAATTATATTGTTGCATTGGTTGATAGACATTTTTCCATAAGTGTGATTTTATCAATAATTTTCACAATAATTTACACAAAACTAATAAATTTACTTAAATAATATAATATTCTTGTGATTTTATCAATAATTTTTATAATAATTACACTAATTGATTAATTTACACAAAAATAATCTTAAAGAATCAACTTACTTAAAATATTCTTGCGAGGAGCGAAGAGCGACACGTCCGTTTAGCTCCGTATACGAAACACGACTGCGTAAATCGATATTTCGAATGTAAATAACAAGCGATATCGTCGTCGTTTCCCGTATCGCGATTCATAACATTCCATATTTTGATTTTCGAAGCCCGATAATATTATTATCGGAAGGGGAAAAAAAGTTTAGAAAGTGTACGAAATATTTTCAAGTTTACGTTTTTTTCTTTTTTCTTATTATTGTTTCAACAAATAATATCTTCTATTGACGTTGAACAAAGATATTATAATGTTACTACCTGACTTCACAATGGCAACGTTGAAATGGTTTTATGAAACAACCATACCTCGAACATTTTTCATCCGAAAGGCAACAAGTTTCACTTTCAGTCAATCGTACATTTTTCTTTTTTTTTTTCTTCTTTCTTTCTTTTCCCGTGAAAGCGGATCAACAAAGTACTGCAAAATTTTAGCGTAAGAATCAGTTTCCGAGGAGCACGTTATATAAGTCAAAATTTATTGCAGCCCTAAACGGTGCCGTCAAAGGTAGCAGTCCGTGGCATCCGGTTTTACGATCCGGAATTGAATGCGTAATTTACAACGTCCTCGCGACAGTGCAGCCCTGACAGCGAAGACATATTTTTTTCGCGTGGTTTTTCATAATATTTTACCTTAGTGGACCTTAAATCTGTCGGAGTCGACCGACTTTCAAGGTCACCGTTCGATCGTCCCCCTTTCTCTTTCTCTCTCTCTTCAATATTACTTTTCCCCAAAGATTCCCCGACGATCGATCCCCCCGAACGTAATTCAAATAGGATTCCACGACTGGTCTTCGAAACTTTACTCTACCTAAGATCCTCATCGATTGACAAGAACAATAAAATCGTAGAGACTATAAAAATTATTAAAAAAAAAGAGAGAGAGAAAGAGAGAGAAATTTGTTGAAAGAACCACAACCTCGTAAGAAATTATAATCAAGAAGAGTCATTGCGAAGTATTTTATCAAACAAGACGAGTCACTTACCAAAAAATCCCACAATCCTCCAAAATTTTACTACTTACTCGATACTCGAAATATATAATTCGATATCCAAACATTAAAAAAAAGAAAAAAGAAGAAACGAGCGTGTCACTTTCAACGAACGAAATCCTCACCGAAAATACCTAAATCGAAAGAAACCGATAAATCCCAGACCCCTAAATCTAAAAAGAGGGAGAGGGCCCGAATCGCTATAAATCACCGCGAAACGTACCATCAAGCATCACCAACGGGCAGTGGTAGACAATACACCCCCTCCCCTTTCCCTCCTCCTCCTCCTCCTCCTCCTCCTAGTCCTCCTTCTCCCCCTCCCCCATTCGCCATTCTTCCATTTCATCGAGGATCCCCAATAACCGGAAGCTTTACGCGCGAATCGAGCCGGGGCCCCGCGTCCTGTTATCCCTCCGTTCCGCTTTAATTAAACAAAATATACCGTATTTGCATAAGGCGCACGCACGCGGCCTCTCTACGAAGCGCATAGTTAACTCGAAGATATGGCGGACAGCCGTAATATACGACGGACGAGGACGAAGAGAAGGACGTCGGGGCCCGGAGAAGGGAGGAGGGGAGCAGCGAGGCAAAAGAGAAAAAGAGAGGTGAACACAGGTGAAACGAGGCCCGAGATATATATATATATAGAGAGAGAGAGAGAGAGAGAAAGAGAGGGAAGGAAAGGGAAAGGGAAAGGGAGAGGGAGAGGGAGAGGGAGATTCATCTCTCGAAATTGTATCGGCATCTGTATGGCCATTAGCATACTGGAACTGACGTATCTCGAAATGTTCTCATTAGCCGAAATTCATGGGCGGCTTCTACGCCCTGGGCCCCTTGGGCCTCGAGGCCCTCGGACCTACAGCCTCGCCCAGGACTGACCCGACAGTTTTGTAAGGTTAACCCGGTAACTAACCTGACTTAACCCAACCGGTCGGGGAATGTTAATGGCATCCGACTTATTGACGAGGCCGGCCCTGGGCCGTACGGGGGCCCACGCCATCCATCCCCCCCTGCCCCTCTCGTAATTACGTAAACCGAGTTTACGAGCTCACGTGACATCACAATGGCCGGATGAGCGAGAGCGCCGCTTTTGCTGAATCGATGGGGGTTAATAACGAGGAGGAAGGGGTGATAATGACGCGGGGATTATTGTTGGGAAGGATTGCCTCGTCGTGGCTCGTGTCTCGTAAAAAGTACCGGATGGGACTGGCTCCTCTTTCTTCGATATTAATTTTTTCAGTACGTTGTTCAATCGGTCAATTTGTGTTTGCTTTTGAAAGCGAGATTAAGGGGAGTGGAAATTGTGGAGTTGCTTATCGAGACAAAGACAAGTGTGTAAGAGAAGAAGAAGATGTTCGATCGAATGATCGAAAATTGAATTGAAAAAATATTTCAAGGAGGAAATATAATATGATTAGTTGATAAATTAAGTAAGTGTGTCAGAGTATATCGATATAAAGGTTAAAGACGAATGATAATTAAAATAATTGACATGTGTATAAATCATTTATTAATTATTTATGCGTTGCGTTATAATTTAAAAAAAAAATATATATATATATATATATATATATCGCATAAATAACATTTATAATCAGTGACTGTATCACGTAAGCACGTGTGCATGCATTTAACGTAGATATTTAATGTAACGTATGCATGATATTAAAGCGCGATCATTGCGAAGTTAGTTCAATAAAAATAGAAATAATATTTATTCGTATCCTACAGTTCGCAAAGCATATTATTATTCCATAACGTTTTACGTATGGGTTTATTCAGGTAAAATATATACTTATACAGTGATGAAATATTCGTTTAAATTTAATATCGAGATAAGAGCACCAACCTCATAAATGCAGCATTTAAATCACCCAGTACATTAAATTCAATATTACAAGCATTATAGCATGCTCGAGAGGCATATGAATAACGAGATAACGATCAATGATTACAGAGTTACCGCCTTGATGAAAATGAGTGCATTAATAAAACAAACGGCTATTATAATTCATATTCATGTCACATATGTACAGGTGTGCAATATCGAAACTATTGCCATTTAGTCGTTGCGAAGAAGGTTAAGAATAGCTTGTTCACTTATAGCATTCTTCTGTTATAACAATTATAAAACTCATTTATTACATTTTACGTTTGTCAAGTCATTATAACGCAGGTGTTAAATGTAATTTTTACGAAGAAGATTATGCGGCTTTATAGCGATAAACCTTGTAATATTAATTATAAAATTAATTTGTTAAATATTGATTTTAAATGCCTTTCTTTATGACTTCCTTAATTTAAAGTTACAAAAATCAGATCCAATCAAAATTCTTTTCTTCCGCGGTAACTAATATTCACCGATTCCAATTTAAAAATATTTCAAACTGGTGCACGGCTAATTCAAAAGTACATTTGCAATCGCGTTTTCTCGACACTGCGAAATAGAAAATAACAGATTTCCACGTTGAAGATAATAATAAAATTAGAGAAAAACAGATCCAATCAAAATTCTTTGCGGAATATACATTAATATTAATTTAAAAAAATTAATTTATTATTATTCCAATTCCAAAAAAAAACGAAAAAAACTGCCTAATTCAAAAATACATCGCAAAGTTTTCTCCGAGGTTGCGTGAAATAAAAAAAAAAAACAACAAATTTCCGCGATTAAAGATAGAATAAAATTAGAAAAATTCACTCGATAAGATTCGATAAGATTTCGAGCAAAATTTTCAGGATCCAAAAAATTTCAACTCGTATCAAAAGTGTCAACGAGAGAGAGAGATAGATAGATAGATAGATAGATAGATAGATAGATAGAGAGAGAGAGAGAGAGAGAGAGAGAAAAGAAACAAACAAAACAAAACGTAAAACGACTCCACTACTCGCCTCTATCATCCACATCCCATCTCGACCGCACTTCCTCCCATTCACCTCGCCGAGCCTCCACATTTCCTCCGCGCGGTCATCATACCCGCGAGGAAAAGGGATCCTTCGTACGAAGCGGGAACGATGTATATAGCAATACGCCAAGCGGAGGAGCCGTGGCCGTCCAGCAAATCATGCAGACCAGATTGTTGGCAGATCCTGTCAACGAGGACTTACAGTTACGCGGCCGCGGCAAGGAGAGCCTTCTGGAATGCCTTTATATGCAAATGCAGAAGGATGGTGAAGGCTGACCGCGCGGCTGGAGTTTAGGGATCGATTCGCAGATATGAATGCTCCTCTCGAGCCGGTGGCTGCCGCTGCCATTACCGCTGCGACCGATGACGGATGAATTATTAATGACCTATGGGAGAGACTGTCGAGAGAGAGAGAGAGAGAGAGAGATCCATCAATGAGTGGAGGCGAATGCGCGACGACGCCCGGCGTCGTGCTTGCGTTAATCGCTTCACCTCAGGTATCAGGAAGCGGACACGTCGATCGGGGAATTCCTACGTCCTCCTCTCATCCCTCCTCTCGCCATCCCCCTTTTTGCTAATTGCGTTTTTATAAATCGTGATCGCGATGCCGGTGCCAGGTTTTGCCGCCAGGTTGGTCGAGGTTGGAAAGGATCTTGCTTTTCTCTCTCTCTCTCTCTCTCTCTCTCTCTCTCAGCGGCGTGATGGAAAGGTTTGACGTTCTAGAAGGTGAAACTGGCGCGGGTGTGGTTTTCTGCGGTGAGGAGAGAACCGGTGGCGAAGATTGATCGCTCGTGGATCGTTTCGTGATACGTTTTCGTGATGCGTTCTGCGACACCTGTTGAGAAAAATGGGGTCCTCTCGTAGAGAGAATTTTGGGATTCTTAGGTTTTACGCAGAGGTTGTACGCAGAATCCGATGAGTTTTTAAAAATGTTTGAATAAATATCGATGGATTTTAATAATATATGGATCAAGTGTACGTATTTATTTGTATTAAAAATTTTATATTTTGAGATTTATTTTATTTCAGTTATAATCGGTAATAAGAATCGATGGTAAATTCCAGTACGTACAATGTATCCTATATCATTTAATTA